GTTTATGCTCTGTGTGTGCTGACATGACCAATATATGTTACTATGTAGTTTAATTTAAGTAATCATTTTGACAAGGGAAATAGATCTTTCCCTAAAATGTGACCTGTGAAAAACTGCAGGACCATTAGAGGATGAATATTAATGTTCCAACCAATCTACATGTAATGTTCATAAAACTGAATTGTAATGAAGTTTGTTTTTAACAATGATCTTGTTACCATCATCACCATCATTATGAATATTATCATCACCCTTCTTTAGTTTCTTTTTTATCCACTTGAGCTGGTCCAATATTTCAAAAATGCATTTGGCAATACATTAACTCCTTTGCCCCTCTGTCTTTTTATCCTACCCATTTCATCTGCCACGTAGCAAAGTACAAATGCTGGGTGAATCCTATCTCTGTGCTCTACCTCAATAGCCAGCCACAAATAGGTAGAGTCATACAACAGGCCAGAAAGGTTCCCCCATAAATTCAATATTAACACTATCTGAAAATAGAACCACACTTGTGGAGTAATTTTACTCTTCCAATCCCCACACACAAAAAAATTCTGAATCATCGTCACTTCATTTAAACCTCTTCCTCTTCAACACCCCCACTACCCTGCCTCCAACCTACACCACTAAGCAGATGATCTTTGTCTCTTATTTTACAAAAAAAGAGAACACATCACACAGGAACTCCATCTTCCTGATGCCTCTTATACATGAAAGCATCTTCAGATTCATCCCACTCATCCTCCCTCCTGTTACAATGGGGGAGTTCTCCCTCTTCATTCTAAAGATAATCTCTTCAACTGTTTTTGAGTTCATTCACTTCCACCTTGTCAGGAACTTGATAGTATTACCTATTTTTTCTCTTTTGTATATTCAATTCCTCTCTCCAAATTGAAAAATTCCACTAGGCTTTAAACCTCTTACAGTTTTCTATAGTATCAATTTAAAAAAACAAAACACTACACTTGACCCCTATTAAGCCGAATTGTGGCCCCCCCCCCTACCCCAAATCTATGTTCTAACCCTCAGTACTTCAGAATGTAACCATATTTATTTAAAGATAGGGCCTTCAAAGAAACAACTAAATTAAAATGAGGTTATTAGGATGGGTCTTAATCTAACGACAGGTGTCCTTAAAAGGAGAGGAAATGTGGACACAGAAAAAGAGGAAAATGATATGAAGATACAGGGAGAATATGGTCATCATCGACAAGATAATGAGAGACCTAGAAGAGATCCTTCCCTCACTGTCCTCAGAAGGAATCAACCTTGCTAACACCTGGATCTTGGACTTTTAGCCTCCAGAACTGTGAGAAAATATATCTGTTGTGTAAGCGCCCAGTATGCAGCACTTCATTGCAGCAGCCCTCGTAAACTAATATAACCCCTATTCTACCACTTTGAGGGACTGGTCTTTTGCTCATCTTTCCTTTAAAGACAAAATTCTCAGTCATCTGTACTCAGTGTCCTTCATCACACCTTGCTCATTCCTGAATTCATGTCAATGTGCTTCTGGTCATGCCATTCATGCCCTGGGTTCACCAATTATCTCAATCTTGTACATTCTAACTAACATGTTAAGTCTTACTCTTTTTCAGTCTTTCAGCAGCATTTGACAGGGTTCCCAAATCCTTTCCTGAAGTGCTTTCTTCACACTTCTATTCTTCATCTCTGGCCAATCATTCATTGCCTTCTCACTGCATGCTGGAGTTTCTCTTAGCTTAGTTAACAAGTCCACATATCACGTTCTCTCAGCTCTTTACTTGGGCAATTCTCATCCATATCTATGCCTTTGATTATCATTCATATACAAATAACAAACAAATATGTCACCAGCCCAGGCTTCTCTGATTTTTGGACCTGTTTAGGAATACCCTTCTACATTTTTCTTAGATGTCTCAAGGTCACCTCAAATTCGACATATCTAAACCCAATATCATGATTCTCTACGGCTTTTTCACCCACACTTAAATCCAAACATAATTGGACACCACTACCATCCATTAAGTCTTGCAAGCCATAAAAATGATTCATCTCTGAAATGTTCTTTCTCACCCTTACTCCCACCACTCTCCTTCATGGTTATAATTTTACAACTATTTGTGTTATTATCTAACTAGAGGCCTGGTGCACGAGATTCGTGCACTGGGGTGGAGGGGGTCCTTCAGCCAGGCCTGCGCCCTCTCGCAGTCCAGGAGCCCTCAGGGGATGTCCGCCTGCCAGCTTAAGCCTGATCCCTCTCTCAGTCTGGGGCTCTCACAGTCCAGGAATCCTGGCTCCTTACTGCTTACCACCCACCTGCAGCGGAGGCAGGGGAGGCTCCCGCCACTGCCACTGCGTTCACCAGCAGTGAGCCCGGCTTCTGGCTGAGCGGCGCTCCCCCTGTGGGAGCACACCAATCACCAGGGGGCAGCTCCTACACTAAGCATCTGCCTCCTAGTGGTCAGTGTGTGTCATAACAACCGGTCGGTCGATTTACATTACACTTTTATTATAGGATTATGCTCCGTAAAGGTGGGAACTTTGTCTATTTTACTCACCATTGTATTCTACCACCACAGTGTCACACTAATATGCACATTCATATTTGAATGAGTGAGAAATAATTTATATTAACAGAAAACTCATTATGTGCCAAACACTACACATTTTATTATTACAAGTATCTTCTTTAATCCTTGTGACACCGTATTAAGTGGGTCATATTATTACTGTTATTTTTATGCTCAGTTTACTAAGAAGGAAGCTATAGCATTGAGTGGTTACAGTTCATTCCCAACTTGAAAGTGGTAGAAGAGGGTGAACCCAGATTACCTGGGTGACTTGTATAACACTGTTATTCCATCATTACAGTTTTCCAAGATACCCCTTTACTGTAGTCCCATCATTTAAATGAAAAAAAATTCAGAAACAAAACATAAGTTTAAAATGCATGCTTTTCTGAGTAGTGTGATAAAATCTTGCACTGTCCCAGCCAGGAAATGAATCATTCCTCTATCCAACATATCCATACTAGATATGCTATCAATTCATTAATCACTTAGCCTTCTTCTCAGTTATCAGGCTGACTATCACGGTATCACAGTGCTGTGTCCAAGTAAGCCTGATTTTACTTAACAGTGGCCACAAAGTGCAAGAGTAGTGATGCTGGCTATTTGGATCGGTGAAAAAAAAGCCATAACGTGTTTGCTTTAAGTGAAAATGTATGTACATATAGAGAAAAAACATAGTATATACAGACTTAGGTATTCTTCATGATTTCAGGCATCCACTGGGGGTCTTGATATGTACCTCGCAGACATAGGGGACTATGGTACTCTCAAGCTACATGGCTAATCTTAACTGTATTTAATACAAGCTATTTTTAACTTACAAATATATTACATAGAAAAAGTTACGTATAATGAATTCATGTCCAGCAATCTTTGGTTTGGTTATCATGAGATAAAACCTAAATCCTTTTGCCTGGAATTCAAGATCTTCCATGATCCAGCTCCTTCCTTCATTTCAAGCTTTTGTACCCATGACATCCTGATGATCTGGTCAGAGGTCAACAACTACAGGCCAATTGTGGCCTACCACTGTTTTTGTAAATAAAACTTTACTGGAGCACAGACATACACATTCATTTACATAATGTGTATGGATTATAAGGGCAGTTTAAATAGCCATAACTGCAAGAAAAATTGACCCACAAAGCCTAAATATTCACTACTTGGCCTTTTACAGAAAAAGTATGCCAAGAACTAAAGTATACTTCTAGACCAGAGTCTAATTCAATGGAAACAAATATAAAAGCTGCCACTAATCGAGTACTGACAGCTTTTCAAAAGTGGACTTATTTATTCCTGTTTCAGTAATGAAAAAACCATGGGAGAAAAATAGAGAAAGAGAAAAAAGAAAGTTAGATAAAGTTTCAGGTGGCTAAATAATGTAGCCATGATCACACACCAAATAAATGGAAGAACTGGGATTCAGAACATGCTCTCTGAACTATTTTGCTCTATGACTCAAAAGCCAAAAAACTTCCCACAGTGCTTTCCTGCTTCCTTTTTCTTCAATGGAGCTTGGACTTTCATGCTGCTATTATTTATTCATGCTGTTCTTTATCCTTCACAAAATGCCAAATTCTTTTAAAACAAAAGGAGATGCCTGGTTTAAAAGATGTCCCACACATTCTTGGAGGACAAGTTCAAATTCCACCTACTCCACTAAATTTTCCTAGATTACCTGCAACCAGAGGAATAATCCCTCCTATAAATACCCATAGCACTTCAGTCATGCCCTTGTGACACTTAACATTCTCTCCCCTTAAGTTTAATGATAGCAAAAGGCACGTGTACCTTTATATCCTATATAATAAGCACTTCATAAATAATTACCTAATAAATCTAATAAAAAACATTTCTAATCTGAATTTTTAAGTAAAATATTTTAAGATTTATCTCTTAATAATTCAACATGAAAATTCAGAATGTAGTTTAAATAACAGAAATGTCTTCCTTAGCATTGATTTTTTAAATATTAAAGGAACTAAAAAGTTATAAATATTAAATACACTTAAAAATTTCTGTTTTTCATACAATAAAATATAATTACTTATATTACATTTTATCTCTTCTCTTGGATAGAAAAACTAAATGCTCAAATTAACAAAACACTAACAAATTATTAAAAAGAAATCAGATCTCACTAACAAAATGTTATTTATTATAAGAATGCAGAGACCACAGATGTTTCCATCCAGTTATTTTTGAAGTTCATTCTGATAGCTTGAGCTGAATGCTCAATGTCATCATTGTAGAAAAAAATATATTCTTAATACAAATACTATTTGCAAAAATGTACATAACTTAAAAGTTAAGTTTGATTTGGTGTCTAAGGTTCTCCATACAGTATAAATAAGGCCTGGCATAAAATCAGTCACAGAGTAGAAATTATTTTTTAAAAACACAACATTGATAAATAAAGAGTTAAATATATTCAAATCAGACACCTACCTGCATCACCTTCTGTTGAATCTCTTCTAGTTGTGTACGCTTACTACGTTGTCTACAAACTTCCTGGTAACGAGTATATTGCTCTCTCAGTGAATCTAATAATTTCATAACCTGTGGCTGTGCAAGCAGTTCATCATCCATAGGAGACCATGACACTCCTCCATCTGAGCCATTAAATCGACGCTGCTGTAATTCGGATAACAATTCATGCCCTTTATGGATAAAAGATACTTATAATTAATATCCATAAAGAAATACAATTCTTCTCAATTCTAGCCCCTTATTTTTAGAGCCTATCTACCTTATGTCTACCTACGTACCTGGTCTTAAGTACTCATATGTAATTTTAAAATTTATATAGAAATAGAAAACTGCATATATGTGCATATATACAACATAGTATATTTATATGCTATTTCATATATCATGAATATATATTCTAAATATGCAATACTGTATAGTAAATTTATGGTATATTTATATATTTTATCTATATCTATCATATTCTTCTTATTGGTGGACTCATTGCTCAGAATACTGTACCAACCAATCCTCTTTTCCTGTGAGTACAATTACACTCTGGAATTTCTGTCTGATGGTACTAATCAATACTAAGCAATATGTTGTATGATTTCAGTATTAATTCATACCCTTAATTATAGTTCCTAAAAGAAAAGTTGACGGTGTAACAAATGTACGATTGCAGTAAAGGTAGTAAGTCTTTATTATTGGTACAAAATAATATATAAACAACCTTTATTTATAGGACTCCCCATAATATATATATTAGTGGGAATCATGAGAGGCCAAAGAATATCCAATGTTATTCAATTACTGTAATCTAATAAAAAAATCTGCTCATTCCTGAGAAATTAGAAATACAGAATGTGCAACGTCTAAAGCTGTAAGTATCCTAACAATTTTAAAAGTAAAAAATTAACAAATTGTTTTTCTGGGATACTACTATTCCAATTATTATTTAGTGGTCAAAAAATGCATATATTTAAATTCTTTTGTTTTTACCAGTATTCAGGAACATGTCCTAAATTTAAATGGCTTTTAATTTATAGAAACAAAACTTCTAATTTGATTTGGAGGTATTCCCAATTTTTAAAAAATATCCAAGATTGTTCTAAACTTCTCTATTTTATACTCTCCCTGTTTTAAGAGTAAATAGCACCCTAACCTGTTTGGCTCAGTGGATAGAGCGTCGGCCTGCGGACTCAAAGGTCCCAGGTTCGATTCCAGTCAAGGGCATGTACCTTGGTTGCGGGCACATCCCCAGTAGGGAGTGTGCAGGAGGCAGCTGATCGATGTTTCTCTCTCATCGATGTTTCTAACTCTCTATCCCTCTCCCTTCCTCTCTGTAAAAAATCAATAACATATATTTTTTTAAAAAGAGTAAATAGCATATAATAAAGGACTTAGTGGCACATAAACAAGGAATTAAGTTTCAAATCTAGAGCAATACTGTATTCCAGCCCAAATATCTCTAGTAGTTGTTTCACAGATTCTAGAACACATTGAAGTTCTTTTAAATAATAATACCTTAATTTTATTTCTAATGTATTTTCTAATAATAACTCATAATTCTAATTCTGCTGTGTACCAGGCACTGTTCTCATAGCACTCACTTTACATGTTAACTCATTTATCCTTTACCACAACCCAGTGAAGTGTAGGTACTGTTATCATCCCAATTTTAAGATGGGAAACTGAGGCATGAAAAAGTTAAGTAACTTATTATGTAGGTTATACAACTAGTAATATTAGAGTTGGGACTTGAGCAGTTTGGTTTCAAAGTATTGCCTTTGAAATCATTATGTGGTGCTGCTTCTCTAACAGAAATGGTATCCACAAGGAAAACATTAAGGGGATTGTCAAAGTAAAAAGATAAATGTATTCTGATCATAACGGCTTTTATGAATTTATATATATAGTACATACCATGCAGCAATGAACACACACTATGTTCAAGACAAGTGCAGGTGCTAAGTGCTTTTACGTAGATGACTGTAAAGCAGTACAGCCAGTGGCTTTGGAGTTAGTCCTATTTTTACTGCTATGGTAATAAAGCTTAACAGTTACTTGATCTTGAGCAAGTTTTTTAATATCTCTAAGCCTTGGTTTCCTTAAGTACAAAATAGAGAAAATAATCCTAATTATCTCAAGGGGTTGTTAGAAGAATGAAATAAGAAAATACAAAAAAAATCCCACAAAAATTACAATGTTAGAGTAAGTTTTCAATAATCCTCATAGCAACCTTATATAATAGAAATTTTTATCTCAACTTTACAGATAAGAAAGTAAACCCAAGTATTTCAAGAGAGAGATAAGTTAACGATTTATCATTATTAATATTTTCAATATTGTAGAGTATATTAACAGCTCAGTTAAATAAAAATCAGTTCGAAAAATTTCCCTGTAAGTTTCTACCACATAATACAGAGTATTATCGTCAATAGTAAATACAGAGTAAATCGTCAATAGTTCTCCAACTTTAAGCAAAACACTATATAACAGAACCAATTTTACCAAAGGCTAATTGACATAAGTAAGAGTTAAGTTCCTACAGCACCTCATAACATTATAACAAAATGACTTTGAACAAAATTATGTTATTCAAGGACCAGCTGTACATGCTCAACTGATGTCTATTTCATGACTCAATCAATTTAGGATTAGTTTATTGGATTATGATGATTATTGATCAATATGTTTTTTCATCTTACCTGTCTGAAGAACTGTTTCAGGATCAACTGATGGAAGGAAGTTTAAATCCACAGACCTGGCAAGCACCAAGAGAGTAATTTTTAAAAGCTGTATTTCTACCCATATAATTTAAGAAAATCTTTTATGTATACATATTAAAACAGGTACAACCAAAGTATGAAAACCTGAGGAATACTGTTCTACCATAATTTCTCTAAAGCATTAGGAACGCTATTAGAGTTAAATAAATACTCATACCCACAAACATATCTATGTGATAAATCACAAAATATACTACTGAGAAAAACAGTTTATTATTAACTAGAGGCCCAGTGCACAAAATTCGTGCCCTCTCGCAGTCCAGGAGCCCTTGGGGGATGTCCAACTACTGGCTTGGGGGAGCAGGCCTAAGCCGTCAGTCAGACATTCTTAGCACTGCAGCTTAGGCAGGAGAGGCTCCCGCCACTGCCGCTGCGCTCACCAGTCATGAGCCCAGCTTCTGGCTGAGCAGCGCTCCCCCTCTGGGAGCGCACTGCACCAGGGCGCAGCTCCTGGGTTGAGCGTCTGCCCCCTGATGGTTAGTGCATGTCATAGTGACCGGTCATTCTGCCATTCAGTTGATTTGCATATTAGCCTTTTATTATATAGGATTATGATATTACTTCAAATATATCAAAGAATCCATTTTAGTAGTTTTCACTGGATATTTGCTTCAAAATGAAATTGCTAACTATATAATAACCCAGAAATGTTAACATTAAGAAACACATGTAATCATCTGCCAACAATCAAAAGTTTACTTACCCACAGCAACCTTTGAGAACTGCAAATATTCTCATATTTGTGTGTATGTGTGTCCCTTGCCATTGTACTCTATCCCTGTACTAATTATGCTTCATGTGAGTTGGACCATGAACTTTATTAAACACATTTGGGAAGTAGAAGATAAGTGAAAGATCATGTACATGGCAAATCAAAGCCTAGGACCCTGCTGCTGTAACCAGCAAGTCTTGCTCTAAATCTCTCACTTCTGTCAATTGATCTAGGCATTCGGCCCTTATTTAGCCTCAATACTTCCTGAGGGCTGACATAAACATGACAAAAATTTGCAAGGGGAGGACTTCACTATCTGGGATTTTAGAGACAAAGCAATACACTTTGAGTTCCTTTAGGAGAGACTGACAAACATAACATCCTATATAATAAAACCCTAATATGCAAATCGACCAAATGGCGGAATGACTGGTCGCTATGACATGCACTGACCACCAGGGGGCAGATGCTCAACGCAGGAGCTGTCCCCTGGTGGTTAGTCGCTACCACAGAAGCTGGGCTCATGGCTGGCGAGCACAGTGGCAGTGGAGGGAGTGGCAGTGGAGGGAGCCTCTCCTGCCTCCGCTGCAGTGCTAAGGACCCCTCGTGGGATGTCTGCCTAAGCTAGCAGGCGGACATCCCCCGAGGGTTCACGGACTGTGAAAGGGAAAAGGCCGGGCTGAAGGATCCCCCCCCCCCCGCCGCCCCAGTGCACGAATGTCATGCACCAGGCCTCTAGTTTTATATAATACTTCATATATTCATGCGAACCAATATTTCCCAAAATAATTTCCAAAACACTGAATAAGATATTATTAGATGGAAAAAAAGGGGTGATACTGGACCATAAACACAAGAATTTCTAGGGACAAACACTTTGTTTTTGTTTTTACTCCAATGCTTTCTCAGCATTAAACCCTCTGACCATAAACTCATTTTCTATAGACAGCCTTTTAGCATGCCTTTCCTAAGACACAGGACTTTAAGAAACATCAAACTTACTCTGCTAGACTATCGAAAAATAGAAGTTTGACTAATTTTTATCAAGTTACTTGTGTGAGATTTTCAATTCCTGAGCCATAGCATGCATACACACACACACATTTACTTATTTTTACATTTTACATTTCTAGAATGCACCAATAGGATAGTAATGTTCCTAAATGTTTAACTTCTATGACATTTACATTCAAACCATTTGTTTTCACATTTTTACTTTGTTTTAATCAAGAATTGGTGTTATACAATAACCCTCTCATATCCCTCTTATTATCTCAGTTAATTGGTATATGACTATGTTTGGATTCACAGAATATCAACATGAATTTTTTATAGGTTCTATTGTATTTGTAAGGCCAGATTCAAAAGAGACAGACAAGATTACTGATTCTTTCAAATTTCCTAATGAAAAATTACTGTTCTAGTGACTACTCTGTTATTTAGACCAGAAAGAGTTAATTTGCATCCTGAAATGCTTTTTACCTTGGGAGAGTGACTTGGTCTACCAACAGAAAAATGAAAACTGCGAAGGTTACGAAGTTCAATGGAAACCCATTAAAATGATTTATCTAAGTAGTTACATTTAGATAATACAACTGAACAATTACTTTATCTAGTGTCATAAAACACTAAATTCTCCAAGTTGAACTCATGAATATCACATACTTTATAAGGTTACAGTTCTATAAGCCAGGCATGTAAGTGCTAATGTATTTAAATAAGGTCACATTACATTTATTTCAAGCTACCACCTTTTCCATATTCTTTATAAGCAAAGTAGAATTCTAAAAAGGTAAAAAATTGTTTCATTTCAAATATTCCTTGCCAATGAATATTTTACAGTGTCAGAAAAAAAGTAAAGCTATTACTATTCCTCAAATAAAGTCTTTTGTAAAGAAACTTTTATTCAAATCAGTTAACTTTACATGTAAAGCAAATTCTCAAAAATTAAAAAAATAAATTTAATTCAACTTTTGTATGCAATTTTTATTGAATGGAGATTTGCTTACCTTAGTTCTTTTAGCTTGCATTAACAATAGAGGTTTCTTTTATCAGGTTAATCATAGCTTTGCAAGGGTATAATTGCATGACTCTGGCCACCTACCTTTCTTTCTCTTGATTTCCTTTATCACTTCCATTGTTAATCAAAGCAAGTTCATCTAATAATGATGTAGATTCCTTTGTAAACTTCTCAAAAACCTACAATATGAAATTTTATTAACATATTAAGAATAATCTTAAAAGTTAAAATGTACTAAAGGATTTTCAGTTAAGAGCAATAGAATTAGCCAGCAAGGTTTCCCCTTCCCCCTCTGGATGTCACTTAGTACAATTCAACCATCAGAGCACAACAGTGTATAGGAGAGAAGACTTAACCATTCCTTAAAATAATGAATAGTTTCAATGGATAAGAAATTCTTAAAATTTAAATACATTAAGGAATTATTTTTATTCCTCAATCAGCAAGTTTATTTTATTCCTACGTTTCCTTGAGAAACATCTGCATCCATAATAGTTTTAACTGGGGAAAAAAAAAAAGGAGACATATGTAATACTCTTTGTAATAATTTAAGCAATAAAAAAAATAAATAAATAAATAAAAAATGGTTGCATGTTAATGGTTAAAAAATTTTACACACAAGCATACACCATAAAAATAAATTAGTTACAATTTTAACACGAGTTCTTAAAGTATTTCTAAAAAGGGATTTGGGCAAATCTGGTTAAAATAAAGTGGACATTCATTTGTTTGAAAACACTGTTTAAATATGATGGAAATAGAATTGGTTTTCCATTCTGAATATCCAAAAGTTCATTGTTCTTCAATAAAATTAGCATATAATCTAAACGGAGTTAATATATTTATTATTTTAGTCCCCAGCAGTTTGGTTAAATAATGCTGTATTATACAGAGTACCAGATTTCACAAGTGTGACAAAGAAGATACATTTTCAGAATCATAAACCACAACCTGCCAAACTGCTCTCCAATTCAAATTGATGTTTAAATATTTTCTCTGAGAATAGTATATAACTAGATTACCTCCCAAGAAATTATGCTACTCTGTTCTACCTGGAAGATTTACAACTTTAACTAGTAATACTGCTACTAATGACAATAGTAATAGCTAACATTTGTGAATCTGATTTCAAAGTATTTGCCTTCAAATATTATTCTAACATATGATATACATTATATTTCTTCACTTTTATAAAAAGGAAAACAATCTACATTTTAGTTAATTATACTTTAGTTGATTAAGACAATGAAGTTATCAAAATATATCTTATTTACATGTAATAACATTTTATCTCAATGTAATATACCAACCAGCCTCTTATTTAACCAGTCCATGTGATCATAAGAGAGACTTCCACCAAAATCTTCTGTTAACTGACATGGTTCTATATAACGAGTCAATTTATTGGCAGACACTAAAATAACCTATAGAGGTAAAAAGAAAAGAAACATTTAATAAGCCACTTTTTATGGCCATGAAAGTAATGAGGAGGTAAAATTAGGGTAAACTATGCAATACTGTTTCCAACATGATATATCAATTATTTAATACAACATTTAAAATCAATTCAATAAATTGTGGACATTACTAAGAAATATGTGACCATTAACTGTTTATAGTATCATATTTTAAGAAAACAAGGGACACTAGAGCAGCTTGGTTTAAATATTTTCAAATTTTATCAATATTAATAATATTTTGGTAATAAAAATCAGCTCCTTTAATACAATAATATTTTCAGCAAAGAATTTTCATATGGCCTTAAAATTAGCTAAGTACACTAAAATGATAAACAAATGAATAATAAATCTGGCAATCAAAAAATTACACTTTATTGTACTCTTGGATTATACTCTGTAATAAAGAATTAACAAGTCTATCATTTTATTATAATTTGTGAAAAGCTAATAAGAAAAATCAAACTTGATGAATATAAAAATTATATAAAGTTTCTCTAACATTCCTTTGATTATATATTAACAAAACATGTCCCTGTAATGGTAGAGTAAAACTTGGGACATACTAATATTTAGTTTGAAAATCAGAACTAAAATGTAGAGCGATCAGAGAATTCATGAACTTGAAAATTGTGTTAAAATGATAATCTTTTAACGCTAAACTTTAAAAGATTTCAAATACAAATTATAGAATCATCTAAGAGACCATTGTAGAGCTAAATAAACTTTCAATGAAGATATACATGGATATAAAAAAATACGTGGGAGAAAGGTATTCAAATGGTAGTATTGAAGCAAAAATAAGACATTAAGACATAAATCTTAATTTACACACAAAAAAAGACTTGATAAGAAGAAAATAAAAACAACGTGTCAAGCTGGAAGGAACACTATTCTCATCCTAAAGAACAAAGGCCAGATAATCTATAAAATTATAACTTTTCTGTAACTCCTCAGAGGGCAGAGGACACAGAGACACCAACTAGTCTAAAAAAGGAGGACAGGGACCACAGATTCCTGATGTCCTTGACAAAATGGAATTCTTGGGAAGGAAGATGTGAGAGGCAAAAAGTTGCCCTTATGGTCTTCAATTTGCACTGGAAGCATCAGTTTAAACTCATGACATATTTGATCTTAAATAAAACATACACTTACATACACAAATTTTCTAACTCTGCCCACTGACAGGTTTAGAAATGATGACCAATTCTGTAAACATACACACTCCTAGCATCCAAATGTTGCCTCCAAATACCATTTCCCACTTTAAGGAATTAAGGCTCCTTGGAAAAATGCCAGATCTGAAAATACACATGATGAGCTTGGGACGTCTCATCCAGATATCGAGGTTATCAAAAACTACTAGGGTTGTGCCAAAAGGTCCTGAAAAGGTTTCCACTGGCCAAAGATGTAATAATTTGCATATCAATAAGAATAATAAATGTGGTGTTTTAAAATATCAGTATGTTTAATTCAATGAGCTCATACTTATAAAATCAGGATATAAAGGGAAAAAAATTATCTAACCTTTTATATACCAACAATACCATTGGGTAAATAATGAGAGTAAGTTTCTCATTATAGAAGTATTCTAGCTAGTAAATGAAGAAAGAAAAATAGAACTAGAACATCGTCATTTTAAATCTTTAATAAATTAAAGGATTTAGGCACTGAACATCAATGGCTGCTAACATCACAAAAAAGAAAACAACTATTATGAGACTCATGATCAATAACAGCCTTGGAAAAAGGAAATGAATTCTGAATCTAATCAATTGTCTAAATCCAACTATCAATTTATGGAAATACAGAGATTTGAGAAGGCAGAAGAATATGTTAACCACACCACAGAGATACTCCTGGCAATGAAAAACTCCACAGGACAAACAACTGGGTCTCTTCAAGGAAAAAAAAAAATAGATAAGAAAAGAGAAAGAGAAAGACAGAATCCTACAACAAATAATAAGAGAATTACATATTCTTTTAAAGCAATCATAAAATATTTTTAAATGACTATATATCATACCATAAAGAAAGCCTAGGTACATTTCAAAGAAAAACTGCAATGAAATTAAGGTAGGAGTCAATAATCAATCAAATCAGAAATTATTAACAAAATTAAAAAACCCTATCCACTTGGAAAGGCATCTCAACCAATCACAACATATGGACATTGTTTAATTCCTGATACAAATAAATAAACCAATGTGTGCCTTAATTTACATATAAATTAATGAATAAATTTCAAACTATAGCATTTATAAATAATATTCTATATAGAACCAAATCTTTTTATAACATTTATCAAATAATGACAAATTTGAAACCAATTGGCTCTTAGATATTAAAGGATTTTTTAAAGGCATGATAATGGGTATTGGGTTATAGTTTTTATAGTCTTTATGTTTTAGAGACACACAATGAAAAATTTATTTACAGATAAATTGAAATATCTTCCATTTCTTTCACTATAATATCCTCAGTTTTCCCTGAGCAAAGTGGCTGAGGGTAAGGATGAGGCAGGAGGGACCATGCATTGATCATTGTTGGAACTAGATGTAGGGATACAGGGAGTTCATTATTTATTTAAAAACTAAAATAAATAACGATACATTTTTCTTTTAAAACAATCTTCCCAGAAAAAAAATACCAGGCCCAGCCAGTTTACAAGTGAGTTTTAAAAATCAAATCAATTTTCAGAAGCTAAAAAGTATTTTATTAACTAACTATGTTGTGAAAGTTTGTGTGTGATGCTACAAGTACAGCAGACCTCAAACCAGCTTCAATTCTGGCCCTGCTCCTTACTAGCCCTGAGATTTCTAGCAAGTCGTGTGAAGTCTGGAAGCCTCAGTGGTCTCCTCTTGTAAAATCAGTATATTTGTCCTGATGACCTATAAGCTACTTGCTTAGCTTCACAGTCGAAGAAGCTTCATTTAAATTTAAAAAAAAATCAAAGAACAGACCATTTCTTAAATGCTTTCAGATAATAAAAAGAAATGAAACACCCTCAACTTATTTTGAGACTAAACTAACAGATATCCAAGGATAACTTGAGAAAAGACCATAATGATTTAAATATTTTCGTTAGCCAATATCAAGTGGTAGCAAGGCGTAGAGCAGCAGAAACGCTTATACACAAGTGGATATACAAATTAAAATGCCTCTTTGGAAAACAATTGGGCATTATCTTGAAATTGTAAACATTTCTATAACCTTTGCCTAGATATTCTGCAAACAAACAAACAAACAAAAACCTTATACATGTTTATCAGGAGTATATACCTGTATATGTTTATAGAGCATCATTTATAATGGTGAAATGGAAACAACCCAAATACCCATCACAGAATAAGTATATTGTTTTTATTCATACAATGGAATAACATTCAGCAGTGAGCATGCAGCAACTGCATCTACTGCAAGAATATGCATGACTCTTAGGTAATGAAGAGTGAGAAAAAGCAAGTCAGTGAAGACTAAAATCATGATACCATGTTTATAAAACTCAAAAAACAAATAAAACCAAATATATTATTTTAGAGTAAATATCCCTAAATCTACACTAATAAAAAACAAAGATGCTAATTGACCATACCTTCACTATGCTCATCAGCCATCAGTAGAGTATGCAAATTAACCCAACAAAGATGGCCGTTAGATTTGCATACTGCAGGCAGATCCCGCTGCACTGCCCTGCGCAGGTGGCAGCGGGATCCCCAGCTGCCACCTGCCCCAGCACGGGATCCGGGCCTGCCGTGTGCAACCGGGGGAGACGGGGCAGGCACTGCGGGATCAGGCGTGCCATCTGCCACCAGGGGAGTGGGCCTAAGCCAGCAGGTGGTTATCTCCCTAGGGGTCCCAGACTGTGAGAGGGCATAGGTTGGGCTGAGAGATCCCCCCGCCTCCTGCCAGTGCACAAATTTTTGTGCACCAGGCTTCTAGTATAAATATAAAAGATAAACATTCTCTATTTCACATTTAAGTTTTTAATACACACATACAGAAAGAAAACATAAACAGAAGATGAATAAACACAAATAATTTAAGTGTTCAGGGATGGGGATGGGTGAATGGGATCAGAGAGGGGCACTCAGATTTATTTTAAGTTCTAGATATTTGATTTCTTAGGTTATGTGGTAGGTACTCAAGTGTTTGTTTTATTATTAAGCTTCTTGTATACATATACATTTTTTAAAATAGTATGTACCAAATGCCGTATTAAAAAAACTAAGAAAAGAATCATTAGAAGAAGGAAATGAATATAGAAGAAACAAGATGAGATCTGGGGAAACAGTACCTCTTCTGAGGTAGCAAGCAAGGAGGTTAGAGGTAGAACAAGGAAAACTGGGAGGTGGTAATGACAGGGAAGTTAAGAGTTCATATGATTCCTTTTTCCATTAAAAAAAATAAAAGAAATAAGATACAGAACATTAGATTACATTTTTGGTTAGTTTAATAACTTCAAACTGTATAATACCTATCTACTTTAAATGGCAATTTAATGTTATCTCTAGGATAAGGAGCTTAGCATATTTTATTATTAGGTACCAATGGGAGCTAATTTAAAAGAAACAATAAAAGAAACACAGAAAACCGTTTTCTCTTAGTGAAGAACTTGTCACAGAGGGCTTTATTTTATCCTCTAGCTCCAATGCAGCTTCTTTAGACTAGTTCTTAGAGACAGACATGATGGTAAATATTCAACAATAAGTGGAGTTAAGCCCTAGAAACCATATATGCTGCCACCAACTCCTTTTGGGATCCAGGCAGACACTTCCACTCTAGAAAGATTAAACACAATCAGATCCCAGGGAGGGGCTTCTCCTTTCTCTAAAAACGTCTAGCTATTTATTAACTAAGTATATACTAACAATGTATTTATTCGATGAGGAAATAAACTACCTGCTAAATTGACCATCAATTCACATCTGAAAAGATGACATTTCCAAAACACTCTCACCTGAAAA